ACTTTGTCCTTCTTCTAAAAAAAGAGATTACTGTTTGCCATTCACTTTCGACTAGCTGAGTAGCGTTGCGTGAACAAATAGATAAAGGAGTTAAGAAAGGATCTATGTTACTTTAAGTCTTTAAGACTTAGAAAATTCTCAAAACTTACAACCTGGAAGCCGTTTGTTTGTGAGCAATCTATTATGAATCAGAATTGAAGTTTCGCTTGACGCTTGACTTGCCTTTTGACGTATTGTCCTTGTTTCGTAAATACAATACCGGCAGATATGTCTCTTAGCGTGTTGCCCAAGCTCTTGTCTTTGAGGTCGAGGAAAACGAGCCCGAAGACGAAAAGCTTCGTTAACAGAAACCACTGCGAGTAAAACGATTAGGATCCTGATCACTTCAACTGCTGCCATTATGATTGGCTCGACAAGCTAGCACCTGAAGTGAAGATGAGACCTGATGGAAGCTTTTGGACTTGTTTATCCTCCCTGGTGTGTCACACTTGTGTCATAAATACTCGCTTCTCGGTGTCACAGGTTCTGCGTATGATCCACTCGTGACCAGCATGAGTTTTTAAATGAATAAATATCAATTTGGCTGCTTGCCCTTAAACAGTATAATTTTCACAAGATCAAAACTATCATCGACTTTCCGTCGATGATAGATTTTTCGACTCGAGTTTGTGCTACCTTATGCATTATTAATGTGGATTTAAGGTAGTTTTCACTTTTGAGACCAATGAAGTGAATGAACTCGACAGGTTCTGAGATCGGTAACAAAATGGTTTCTTGATTTCATGGCCACTACACTATAATTAATTTCTATATACTGGCACATAATCCTATGAATTCCAACTCGGAGCGAGGTGATCAATAATCGCATGCTATAAGTTTACAGGGATAAAATAGATCAGAAAATAAGAGAATGTTATTCATTACATAAAACTGACCAGGGTTATTAGGCACTTATCCCGAATTTAAAAAAAGATACACGATAAACCGTATTAAGTTAGGGATCTTTCAACAGTCTAGAATTTTTTCAAAAGTTCCAAAGTTCAACTGAACATCAAGACATCCGTATTGTCTGGTCTGACGTAAGGGTCGTAGAGTAACTAATCACTGACTGATAGCCTGCAAGCCAATTGGGCAAGTCGCAAGAAGTCACGTTAGAGCAGCACGCGCGAAAGGCGACGCGAGTTCTAGGGGCGCGTCGCAAAGAAAGAGAGAGTCGCGAATCACGCAACTTGTAAAAAGAAGACGACCGAGCGAGGAGACTGGACTGGCTTCAGGTGCTTTTTCTTTCACGTCTTTTGGGGCCAATCCGAATGATATAATTTTGGCCGACTTCATCAGTGCCTGTCTCGGCCCTAGTGCTTTTTGAGACCGCGTGGAGTTTCTTGCCGAAATTTATTCAAAATTCATTCTTCACGTAACTCAGTCCGTAAGGCGAGGGAGTCACATTTGATATATTAGGTCATGACTCTTGAACCTTCTTGAACCTAATGGCCTAAACCGTCGTGACGAATTTTTGTAATCCATATCCATATCCATAAGTTTTTCTTATTTTTTATGTTGTTCCGCCTTTCCTTTTAAAACAATTTTTATTACGACATTACATCTGTAAATCTGGAGAAGGCCGAAATATCACGTTACGAAATAGAGGATATTACATGACCGCTTGGAAATACGAAATTTCTCTTCGAGTGTTGAAGAATATTTCACTCGTTCGCGTTTTTTCAACACGAGAAGAGAAATTTCCAAGCGGCCATGGAACGTTCTATACATTATATAAAAACCAATGAAATACCAAACCATTTCACTTTAATAGTTGTTCGGTGTGAAAGGCGAGATTTATTATGTAGCCATAGCAAAGGTGATATTTTCACTTGTGAAGATAACATTTTATTTTCACATGTGAAGATATCAAGAGGGGGGCGTAAGGGGGGTCCGAAAACCGCAAAACCGCACAGAAATACGCCAAAAACCGCAAACCGCATCGGATTTTTTTCCCGAATACCGAAACCGCGCGTACATGTAGGCCACAATATGAAAGCTGACGTCAGCAAGACTTGTGATTTTTTCTGATAACATTGTGCGTTAGTATTAAACATACCATCATAACGCTAACGATATATTGTACTACACTATTATACTCTATTTACTACTAACCAAATGCCAAGTATGCTGGTCATGTACTTGAACGAGTATTGATATCTCCCTTGACTTTGAAAAACTCTGTCACTGATCCTGTACGTCTTACATTGGGTGACTGATTACTTTGGACGACCCAGTGCTTAAGTTGCGGAACGCGGAATAAATGTTTCTTCTGGAATTATGACCTTCTTGTCTCGTAAAGAGTTCACGTTCAGTGGAGAAGACGATTGTTAAAACGTACAGCTCTTCTGAAATTCTCCCCTTCCTTTCCTTCTTCATAGAAGATTGCCACGCAATTAATAATTAGTATATTACGTCCTCTTCGCTTTCAGTTGCGACCTCGACGACCTCAGTTGCCATTGTCGCGCATTGAATCACAGGCGGCCCAAGCTCAGTGTGTGAGTTTAATCGTTAACACATGTAGTTTCATATTGCGTAATTTAGAATGGCCGTGAATATAAAGGATTTGTATGTGAATTCAGGTAAAAGATTCAAATCGATAAATACTCGCTAGAATGTTCAATAAAATACAGCTTACCGTATTTACTTTGCTTGTTTTTGTTTGCTGTGTGGTTATTTTTCCGATCCATTGCGATTTAAGCGATTTCCTTTAACCCCGAGTTTCCACTGTAAGAGAAAGGTCCTTTCTCCACAGGCGGCCCAAACTCATTACATGAACGCGGACGTGACTCTTGCTTGCGAGCGGTGTTGTGTTACAAACGGTTATTTACAAAGGCTTGTATGGGATCGATCGGTTTTTCTTAAAGGAGATAAAAAATGTTATGTTTTTAAATAAAATCGACGTACCTTATTGCCTTGTTGTATTCTTTGTTGTTTGCCCGCGTCTCAGGCCGTTTTGAAGCGTTTTCGGCGAGTTAGTTGATATCTTTTCTTATTAAAGCTATAAAATCGAATAAATAACCATCTCTTACCGCCGTATGAGCCTCCTATGGCTATAACTGGACTGTCACTTGCTCCAGGAATTGTATCCTGAGTGTGTAAGCAAAGCAACAGATGATGTTTTCAGTATTAGAACATCATAAATTACAAAACGCCTGAAACGTGTCTGTTGATCGATGCGTCGGGCATTTTGTTATCAACAGAACGATAAACTGAGAGTAGAACATGCCTTCAGTTTCTTTATTTAAAATAATCTATCATCAGGTTAAGCAAAGCTCCACAAAGAATTTTTTTCATTGTACTTTGTTTCTTGGAGTCTGTTTACCTTGAGGTGGTTAATTAGGATGGCAAAATCAGCCAACGCTTGTTCAGACGTCAGGTAACCCAAGTACTGTGGCCCCTTAAAAGAGAAGAAAGGGAATTAATAATTCAGTCATACAGGCTGAAGAAACTCACACATAACAAAATATTCAACAAACCTTGTACGACTTTGTGCCAAAGGGCAATGACTTTCCGTAGTACCTATGTTCAGCAAATACTAACATTGCTCCAAATTCTTTAGCGCTGTCCCACATGAGCCCCTAGAACAAGAAATCAAGGAATTGTTATGATTAAATTTTCTGGCGGCCTCTATGTGCAACAAGGGACGGTTTATAGGGAGGAGAAAAAGTATAACTCAACAAATTTGGACAAAAACTCACGTTTAATTATTGAATGATAACCAGCTTTCACCGACTGACCAAATTAGGACGATCTGGAATAATCTTTCGATCATCTTACGATAGACGACAATCAGTGAAATAACAGAAAATACCGACTGGACGTCCTGCAAAGACGGCGGGGACGCTACCCTTCTGTCTTTCGAGAAAATTATCAGGCGTAGGTCCAGGCAAATGTTTCATAGAAATTCTACTAAGAGGTATCAAAGGATGCTATTAGCTTGGAATCATATATGAATCAATAATAAAAATAAAATAGTATAGCGGATAGTATCGGAGTAGAAGTGCCCCACCAAGAACATCGGTAATTGTCCAGCGTAATTAAGGTTCGTGCTAGTCTGGAAAGTGGGCGACAGGGGCGAGAAGAATTCTCGCCTAGGGAGCCTTTGCTTTTTTTCCTGGCGGTGGTATCAAAAATAAAATTTACAAATCTCCCGCCACGAGCTGGAGAGGTCGAAGGAAGGTGAAAAACAAGTAGCAAGACGTTTAAGAAAAGTTGTACACCATCTATAGTTAGTATTAAATAAATGATAAGCATACACTTATCTAAATAAGTCGGACAGTGGCGCAATGAGTAGCTTTTTTATTCTGATCTTCTTGGAAGAGGGGGACATGGGGGTTTACGGTATTGCGGTATTGAGCAATTTTTTTCCAGCGGTATTTCGGTAATTTGGATTATAATGGGCGGTATTGCGGTATCATCCAGCGCCGCGGTATGCGTTTTTTCACCCTTGTGGCTAACGGTATTCGGTGAAAGAAGATCGTTCACGGTATTGCGGTACTGTTCATTTGGCCTCTCCTGTCTATGGTAGGTCAATATTTGAAAGAGTTTAGACTTAACGGTAAATGAATACACAATTTCTGACAGTTACTCTATGATGAAATTGGTAGGACATCCAATGACCTGGCTTTTCGATCGATGTACAGATCAGTTCAAGATCTTCTCATGTTTTTCTCGCGAAGGCTGAGGTTGATTTCTGGTGTATACATGCTTGACATAAAAAAACATGCGAGATGGATACAACGTTAAGTAAGCGTCACCGATCATAAATGCGGTATCGGTATTTCGTCCATTTTCGACGCGGTATTTCGATATTTGCCAATTTTTCGTACGGCATTGCGGTATTGGGTATCCCCCAATGTGCCCCACGTTTAGCAATAGCGTTGAGGTAGCCATCGACAGGACGCCTGTCATGACCAAAATAACATTTTCAAAGTAACTTCAAAGAAATTTTTGCAGATATAATCGAAAAAATTCCACGAGCACTTACCGTGTTGTTTGCAAACCAAGTGATGTCTCCTTCATTTCCGGTGTAAAAGAAGATCGGTCCTCCAACTTTCCAGTTTTTCCTGGCTATCAGGTAACGTTGTAGAAAAGTTCGATTGGTTTGGAAATTAAAGTGATCTAGCTGTGGAATCGAGGAAGATTAATAATTAGTCAGCGCAAGAACACGACCAAACCATCAGTGATCCAAATGTTTTGCCTGTGGAGATTTAGGCCTCGCAAGGGTCATGTGATCCTATCATTGGAATTTCTTTCCTATCGACGGCCATGTCTTGCTAGCTCTTGCCACCACCACTAACTACTCAGTGGAAGGTTTTATGACAATATTACTTAACAATTATTCCTCGAGCCCGAATGGGCTCTGAGTCAATAGCCCATTAGGCCGAAGGCCGAATGGGCTATTGACTCAGAGGCCATGAGGATGAGAGGAATAATTTTATTAGTAAAATCCAACTACTTGGTGAAAAATCTTGAGAATAAAAAATTTTTTGCTAGATAAAGCTAGACTTTAATCCTTTTTTGCCGCCAAAAAGCCCGCGCTTTTCGCTACTAGTGGGCTATAACATATAGCCTAGTACTAGTTCAACCAATCAGAACGCAGCATTGATAATAGACCACTAGTTGGATTTTACTAATTCGAAATATCCTATTTTTATTAGTTTCTGTACAACATTAGATAAAATGTTGTTCCCTTCCAACGACGTGGCGCGAGTGAAAAAGTCATGCTTTCGGGCGAAAACTCACCTTATATTTTATTTTTTGAAAAAAAAAAATGGGTTTAGACTCTTAGTTTAAAGGATTCCACTGAAGAAAACTCGAGACTTCGTAAATTGCTATTGTTTTAATAATCGCTTTTTTTTTGTTCCCATAATAATAGTATTTCAGGTCTTATGTGTGTATGTATTTAATAGTATGTAAAGGTAATGCAAATAAACAGTGAATATGCTGTCAGTAAGACGTGCAGACACCTCCAGGAAACGAACAACTTGACAACTGTTAGTTAAAGCTCACAATCTTTTTCTTAGATTCTATATAAGATGAACACCTCTCTAGAAAAGATACTTCATGTTAACTTTGTCCTTCTTCTAAAAAAAGAGATTACTGTTTGCCATTCACTTTCGACTAGCTGAGTAGCGTTGCGTGAACAAATAGATAAAGGAGTTAAGAAAGGATCTATGTTACTTTAAGTCTTTAAGACTTAGAAAATTCTCAAAACTTGTCTTTGAGGTCGAGGAAAACGAGCCCGAAGACGAAAAGCTTCGTTAACAGAAACCACTGCGAGTAAAACGATTAGGATCCTGATCACTTCAACTGCTGCCATTATGATTGGCTCGACAAGCTAGCTCCTGAAGTGAAGATGAGACCTGATGGAAGCTTTTGGACTTGTTTATCCTCCCTGGTGTGTCACACTTGTGTCATAAATACTCGCTTCTCGGTGTCACAGGTTCTGCGTATGATCCACTCGTGACCAGCATGAGTTTTTAAATGAATAAATATCAATTTGGCTGCTTGCCCTTAAACAGTATAATTTTCACAAGATCAAAACTATCATCGACTTTCCGTCGATGATAGATTTTTCGACTCGAGTTTGTGCTACCTTATGCATTATTAATGTGGATTTAAGGTAGTTTTCACTTTTGAGACCAATGAAGTGAATGAACTCGACAGGTTCTGAGATCGGTAACAAAATGGTTTCTTGATTTCATGGCCACTACACTATAATTAATTTCTATATACTGGCACATAATCCTATGAATTCCAACTCGGAGCGAGGTGATCAATAATCGCATGCTATAAGTTTACAGGGATAAAATAGATCAGAAAATAAGAGAATGTTATTCATTACATAAAACTGACCAGGGTTATTAGGCACTTATCCCGAATTTAAAAAAGATACACGATAAACCGTATTAAGTTAGGGATCTTTCAACAGTCTAGAATTTTTTCAAAAGTTCCAAAGTTCAACTGAACATCAAGACATCCGTATTGTCTGGTCTGACGTAAGGGTCGTAGAGTAACTAATCACTGACTGATAGCCTGCAAGCCAATTGGGCAAGTCGCAAGAAGTCACGTTAGAGCAGCACGCGCGAAAGGCGACGCGAGTTCTAGGGGGCGCGTCGCAAAGAAAAGAGAGTCGCGAATCACGCAACTTGTAAAAAAGAAGACGACCGAGCGAGGAGACTGGACTGGCTTCAGGTGCTTTTTCTTTCACGTCTTTTGGGGCCAATCCGAATGATATAATTTTGGCCGACTTCATCAGTGCCTGTCTCGGCCCTAGTGCTTTTTGAGACCGCGTGGGTTTCTTGCCGAAATTTATTCAAAATTCATTCTTCACGTAACTCAGTCCGTAAGGCGAGGGAGTCACATTTGATATATTAGGTCATGACTCTTGAACCTTCTTGAACCTAATGGCCTAAACCGTCGTGACGAATTTTTGTAATCCATATCCATATCCATAAGTTTTTCTTATTTTTTATGTTGTTCCGCCTTTCCTTTTAAAACAATTTTTATTACGACATTACATCTGTAAATCTGGAGAAGGCCGAAATATCACGTTACGAAATAGAGGATATTACATGACCGCTTGGAAATACGAAATTTCTCTTCGAGTGTTGAAGAATATTTCACTCGTTCGCGTTTTTTCAACACGAGAAGAGAAATTTCCAAGCGGCCATGGAACGTTCTATACATTATATAAAAACCAATGAAATACCAAACCATTTCACTTTAATAGTTGTTCGGTGTGAAAGGCGAGATTTATTATGTAGCCATAGCAAAGGTGATATTTTCACTTGTGAAGATAACATTTTATTTTCACATGTGAAGATATCAAGAGGGGGGCGTAAGGGGGGTCCGAAAACCGCAAAACCGCACAGAAATACGCCAAAAAACCGCAAACCGCATCGGATTTTTTCCCGAATACCGAAACCGCGCGTACATGTAGGCCACAATATGAAAGCTGACGTCAGCAAGACTTGTGATTTTTTCTGATAACATTGTGCGTTAGTATTAAACATACCATCATAACGCTAACGATATATTGTACTACACTATTATACTCTATTTACTACTAACCAAATGCCAAGTATGCTGGTCATGTACTTGAACGAGTATTGATATCTCCCTTGACTTTGAAAAACTCTGTCACTGATCCTGTACGTCTTACATTGGGTGACTGATTACTTTGGACGACCCAGTGCTTAAGTTGCGGAACGCGGAATAAATGTTTCTTCTGGAATTATGACCTTCTTGTCTCGTAAAGAGTTCACGTTCAGTGGAGAAGACGATTGTTAAAACGTACAGCTCTTCTGAAATTCTCCCCTTCCTTTCCTTCTTCATAGAAGATTGCCACGCAATTAATAATTAGTATATTACGTCCTCTTCGCTTTCAGTTGCGACCTCGACGACCTCAGTTGCCATTGTCGCGCATTGAATCACAGGCGGCCCAAGCTCAGTGTGTGAGTTTAATCGTTAACACATGTAGTTTCATATTGCGTAATTTAGAATGGCCGTGAATATAAAGGATTTGTATGTGAATTCAGGTAAAAGATTCAAATCGATAAATACTCGCTAGAATGTTCAATAAAATACAGCTTACCGTATTTACTTTGCTTGTTTTTGTTTGCTGTGTGGTTATTTTTCCGATCCATTGCGATTTAAGCGATTTCCTTTAACCCCGAGTTTCCACTGTAAGAGAAAGGTCCTTTCTCCACAGGCGGCCCAAACTCATTACATGAACGCGGACGTGACTCTTGCTTGCGAGCGGTGTTGTGTTACAAACGGTTATTTACAAAGGCTTGTATGGGATCGATCGGTTTTTCTTAAAGGAGATAAAAAATGTTATGTTTTTAAATAAAATCGACGTACCTTATTGCCTTGTTGTATTCTTTGTTGTTTGCCCGCGTCTCAGGCCGTTTTGAAGCGTTTTCGGCGAGTTAGCGCTATTTTGGTCAGTGGGACACCAAAATAGCGCTAACTCGCCGAAAACGCTTCAAAACGACGACCTCAGTTGCCATTGTCGCGCATTGAATCACAGGCGGCCCAAGCTCAGTGTGTGAGTTTAATCGTTAACACATGTAGTTTCATATTGCGTAATTTAGAATGGCCGTGAATATAAAGGATTTGTATGTGAATTCAGGTAAAAGATTCAAATCGATAAATACTCGCTAGAATGTTCAATAAAATACAGCTTACCGTATTTACTTTACTTGTTTTTGTTTGCTGTGTGGTTATTTTTCCGATCCATTGCGATTTAAGCGATTTCCTTTAACCCCGAGTTTCCACTGTAAGAGAAAGGTCCTTTCTCCACAGGCGGCCCAAACTCATTACATGAACGCGGACGTGACTCTTGCTTGCGAGCGGTGTTGTGTTACAAACGGTTATTTACAAAGGCTTGTATGGGATCGATCGGTTTTTCTTAAAGGAGATAAAAAATGTTATGTTTTTAAATAAAATCGACGTACCTTATTGCCTTGTTGTATTCTTTGTTGTTTGCCCTCGTTTCAGGCCGTTTTGAAACGTTTTCGGCGAGTTAGCGCTATTTTGGTCAGTGGGACACCAAAATAGCGCTAACTCGCCGAAAACGCTTCAAAACGGCCTGAGACGCGGGCAAACAACAAAGAATACAACAAGGTAATAAGGTACGTCGATTTCATTTAAAAACATAACATTTTTTATCTCTTTTAAGGAAAACCGATCGATCCCATACAAGCCTTTGTAAATAACCGTTTGTAACACAACACCGCTCGCAAGCAAGAGTCACGTCCGCGTTCATGTAATGAGTTTGGGCCGCCTGTGCTTTCTCTTACAGTGGAAACTCGGGGTTTAAGGAAATCACTTAAATCGCAATGGATCGGAAAAATAACCACACAGCAAACAAAAACAAGCAAAGTAAATACGGTAAGCTGTATTTTATTGAACATTCTAGCGAGTATTTATCGATTTGAATCTTTTACCTGAATTCCCATACAAATCCTTTATATTCACGGCCATTTTAAATTACGCAATATGAAACTACATGTGTTAACGATTAAACTCACACACTGAGCTTGGGCGGCCTGTGATTGAATCAAAGCAACGAGAACACGAAGCTGTACGGCTGTACGAGCTAACATCCGGCATGGAATTTCACGAAGTCGACGCATCAGTGGCCAAAACGGTTAATCACATTAAGTATTAACTGGAAAAGGCCTTAATTGCAAACCACAGAGTTAAATTGTACGCTGGTATAATGAACCCTGATGCGCTGTAAAACAAAACACTTGGCTCGCGCTTGCAAAACAACCGGATGCCGACCGTTCTAAAGGGTGTTATCACCGTAGACACTTTTGTCACCGAAAACCGCGACTTAAAGGTTGTAATAACCGCAAACCGCTTAGTGTTTTGAAACCGCAATACCGCGAGTTAAAATAAGAATTACCGCAAAACCGCACCAAAAATAACGCAAAACCGCATCACCGCAAACCCTTACGCCCCCCTCTATCAAGTTTTCGCGCGAAAGCTCACCAGGTATTTCATTATTGGTGTTTATACAATAAAAAGCAATATCAACTGTCACCTTTGATGTAGTCTTTGGATAGGCTCTAGATCCAGGGTCTTTGGACTTCCCATTTTATGGTAACTTTCTTAGGATTGCCGGCCCCTCGGCAGTCTATTTCGCTCTGTTTTTTATAGCCGCCTTTGTTACATTTAAACCGTCGTGTAGCTCCATCTAGTCCATTCAATTTCATTTTTCCGCCATCTTGGATAAAGCAGGGGGCGGGGTTCAGTGAAGCAGTGTGCCCTCTGGTGATATCCATAAACAGCCTAGTCCGGCCCTAGGCGTTCTCGGCTCGGTCAATCCTGGGCCGGGTTTGTTCAAAGCTGGTTTAAGATAACCCAGGGTTAGTGCGAACTCTTTGCCTACAGCCTGATTATTCAATACTCCGAAAAGAATAGAAAAAAATTATCCAAGAGAGTGCTTTTGATAAAAAGAAAAAGAAGCCCGAGTTTAACTTTAACCCCCAGTTAGCGCTACCCGGCGTTCGATCGAACAACGTCCATGACAGAGACTCGCTGGGCAACGGGGTAAGAGAGAACGCCTTTAATTAACTTCTGTGATGACAAGGGATGAGGGGACGGGACATTTGATGTACAAACTTTGACACACCTAAGGTTACCAGCAACCTCGTTCCCAGGGTGCTTTTTCCTTGTTTTGGAGGCCGAGGGAGGGAAAAGTGCCCTGGGGACGAGATTGGGTTACCAGGTTTAATTAATAAACATAATTCTTTATTTAGCTCATGGTGAAATTACATTTTTAACTTTACATAACTGAAATTTGTGCAAGCTATTAACTTTACAATATAAGAAAAATATAAAGTGCGAGCTGTGAAAGTTTTTCTAGTTAGCTTCCCATCCAATTAAAGTCCAGGTAAAATAGAAGAAAATAGAATAGATAAATGAATTAATAAATTAAATCAACTTAATAAAGAGCACTCACCCATCCCCACCAACCCCTCAGCCGAAAAAGAAGAACCTCAGTGTCTTTATATTTTGGTTAGTTTTCCGGGGCTCGCTAATGAATAATTTTATTGTGTTGTTCACACAGTAGATAGTGTTTGACTAATTTGGGAACTGCGATAGTGCTTAATTGAGTTAATTGAAAATGGAAGGTCTTTCCAGATATCTGTAGCGATGAACGAGAGTGATTGTTTTCCTATATTAGTTCGTACTCCAAATTTATAAAGATTCTGTTTAGCTGCATATCAGTTTGCAGTATCCACGAATACTACTCGCATACTGAAACATCTCATTAAATACTTCACGTAGCATGCCTTTATGCCATTCATTAATAAAAGAATTTTAAAACATGGAGGCGATAAGCATTATCCGCTGTTAAAATTCTTAGTAAATTTAGTAGAGGTCAGACTCTTTCTGTTTCTTTACCGTATGTGGGACTAGTGGCAGGGATGTGGGACAAAAAAAGAATAATCTAACAATATGATTCTGTTTTACCAGTGTTTTCGTTATGTGGGTCTTATATGCACTGCCCCAAGTTGCTGCAGCGAAAGGTAGTGCCTTAATTTCGAAATTATTCCAATATTTCGCGAAATCTGAGAACAAACAAATAAGATGTGATTTTTCCACATGACATTCTCGTTGATCATAACTCCTAAACAACAGCTGAGATTTCTGTACGCTGCCTAAATTTGCTTGAGAAGGTTATCGTAACTTTCCGACAGAAAATGGACTGTCTTGCTTAATTACTTTGAATTTTTTGACAGTTCGTGCAGTTTTGCTTCGACTGGGGTATCTCCTATTTCATAAGTCTTTTCACCTGCTCTAAAGGTAAGCTTACATTAGACGCCATATCGGCAAATTTTTGCGTCAGTAGCGGAGCGATGAAAAACGTCGCCGTCCGCCATTTTGAGATATATTCTAATCTCTCCGAAAAAAAAAAAATGGCGCCAGGCAACACA